GAGCAGAAGAGTTCTCATATCTCTCTACAAATTTTAGCAAATTCTTCATGGACCTTTTATTACCTCTCATAAAGACCAATGTGTCATCTGCAAAAAGATGACTAAGATTTATAGTTCCCTCCCTATATGATAAGCCTTAATAAAGCCTTGCTCAAAATTGTACCTGAGACCCCTACTTAAAGCTTCTTCAGCAAGAATAAATAAGAGAGGAGACACAGGGTCACCTTGGCTTAAATCCCTTGAGTTGGGGAAGATGCCATGTCCGACTCCATTGATAGACAAAGTAATGTTTTGATCATTAAGGCAATTAGAAATAATAGACACAAATGCCTCAGAAAAACCAAAGCTGTGCAAGGCATGCTTGATGAAATCCCATTTCATTCTGTCAAAAGCTTGCATCATGTTAAGCTTTAGAATAATATTCCCTCCCTCAACTTTTCTATCTAAATCACTAACCATTAGCTAGACAAGAGCAATGTTGTCCCCAATGCTTCTCTCCTTAACAAACTCATGTTGTTCAGATAATATCAATTGAGGTAGCCTAGTAGTCAGAAGTTTTGTGAAGAAGACTTATATAAAAAAGTAAGGAGGCTTCTAGGCCTAAAATCAGAGAAGCTCATAGGATTCTCTTTCTTGGGGATAAGAGACACTAAAGTAGTATTCACTGATCTGGGAACCACTCACTACTGAAGAAAAAATTTTGCAGCTAGTAATAGGTCATGCTTAATAATGTCCCATGCAAACTGGAAAAATTTACCTGAAAAGCCATCTGCTCCTGGTGCACTATGGACTGACATAGCAAAAATAGTACATTTCAATTCTTGCAGTGATGTAGGTGAAATAAGCATATGATTATCTTCCTCAGTAACCAGCTTAGGAATGACCTGAAAAAGTTCCTCTTCCAAAGGATAAGTCTCAGATTTGTATTGTGTAGAAAAAAAGATTAAGCACACTCTGCAATGTCCTGCTCATTTTCTAACCATAAACCTTTTGCATTTTTTATCCTTCTGATTCTATTCCTGACTGCTTCCCCCTTAGCTATGGCATGATAGAGTTTTGTGTTCCTTTCACCATCAATGGTCCACTGCATATTAGCTTTCTGCCTCCAATACGTTTCCTCCATCTACAATGTGAACTCCAGATCCTTTTTTTGCTCTTGACAATGCCTGTGTAATAGTATCTGAATTTTTCTTTTAACCTCAATTTCAACAAACAACAACTGTTGTTCTTTACTTTTAATGTTATCAAAGACATTCCCAAATACCTCCTTGTTCCACTGCTTCAAATGGAGCTTTAAATACTTTAGCTTAAGGAAGACATTCTCAATGGGATTAGATGAGTAATTACCTTACCAATTAGATTTAATCAGCTGCAAAAAATCAGAATGTTCAGTCCACATATTTTGGAACTTGAAATAAGAAAGTCTTCTTGGACCAGCTATCTCTGAAAATTTTCAAATCAAGGGGCAATGATCAGATTCCCCTTTCCCCACATGCTCTATCTTTGAATTAGTAAACCTTGCATTCCAGTGTACATTGACTAATGCTCTATCAATTGTCTGCCACATACGACTTATAACTTGCTGATTGTTGCTCGATGTATATGTAGAACCAGAGTAATTCATTCATGATAGAAAGACTGGGAGTAGAACCTCCTTTCCTTCAAAAGATGAGACAATGGTATTAAAATCACCAACTAGTAACCAAGGTGTATCAGAAGTTTGCAATTCTGCCAGATGAAACCATAGTGGCCTTCTCAAGAGGTGGTCACACTTTGCATATATAAAAGAAACTAGAAAAGGCAATGACCCCATGAAAGTAGCCTCAACTGTTAATGCCTGCTCATGAGTAGCAATAAGTTTTACTTGCAACCTATGATCCCAAGTAATCCATATATGCTTCTCAGCTACAGGATTGACCAAGAAAGAAGAAAAACCCAGAATTCTACAGAGATTTTGCATTTTGGATGACTTCAGTTTTGGCTCCAACAAAGACACCAAACAAATATCATGAATTCTAAATAATTTTTGAGCCTCACCCTTGAAGCTTCCTGATTGACACATTCCAGGAAATAAAATTAATCATTAAAATGCGGAGTGGAGGGAAGCTTACCAGACTTGGATTTGGTTATTATACTTGTGTTGAATAAATCACTAGCCTTCACATGCATTCTGGCTCAACTTCTGCATCTGAACTTTTGGAATCAGAGTGCTCCCAATCTACACTTGCAAAAAGATCATCATCTGACTTAAAGCCTTTATTTGGAGGCTCCTTGACAAATCGAAGCCCTCTTTCATCATCTAATGAAACACCAACACCTTTAAGGCAGACATATAGGTGATCCACTAAAAAAGTAGAATTAGAATCATAAAGAATCTGTTTGTTCAAATGATGATCATCACTTGAAGGGGATTATTTATTTTATCAGGTACTGGATTCACTGATTCAAGTGGATTAGATTTTGATTGAAGTTCCTCATGAATATGAGAATCCACTATTGTATTCTGGTCCTTGATTTCTACTTCTTTGTTATTATCCAAACTAGTAGGAATTGGCTTCACTATATCATCTTTACCAGAGTGATTACCTCTTTCCAACATTCTAACAGAGCCAGTATTTTTTGGAGGAAGATCTGTAGGTCTAGTTGTTGCTTCTAAACACTTCTTTGCTGCTGAGGATTTAATTTCCTTTGCACAAGACTTTCCTTATTGGCTTTCCCATAAATTATATTCTACTCGATTTGTTTCCCCTTGCTTTTCTCCGTCTTAGCATTTTCTGTCTTAGTTTCCAAAACTTGAGGATTCTTTCCTTCCTCATACCCTTGCACCATGGCTACTTTCCTTTTCCTACCGTATTCCTCTCCATGCCCTTGTTTCCTACTAGATTTACAAAATTTCTTAATCCTCTCATAAATGATCTTCTGCCACCTTGCACCTTAATCTCCCATATAAATCCAAATTCTGAAAGGATTTGCTGCTAGAAGATTAACCTCCACACAAAGTCTAGCCACTCCAGGCCTTGATAATGTGAGTGTAGCTTGATGAAAAGCCAACACCTTCCAAATTGGTTTTTCCAGCAACTTCAGAAAAGACTTCTTGAAAAAATCAAAGGAAATCCTGGCAATGAGATCCACATAGGAACAACTGCTGGCTCAATACCAGGTACAAATCCAGAAAACCACTTTAAAAATCTAAATAGGTAATCCTCTATTAAAGTGGCATCTTTCAACCAGGTTTTTAGATAATCATCTAGTAATTGAAACCTTAGTAGAATGTGCCCTTGATCAATAGACCCCACCTCAAAATCACATTTTAATCTCCATTTAGATCTAATGATCTGTTTAATGACACCCAAAGAAGGCCTACCATGTGAGCACTTGCCAATCAAGTCATATTGATGATTGGATGTTGGATCTAGTGGTTTTGGTAGGATATTCAAATGGCTTGGTGATGAACTCACGAAGGAAAAATTGTAGAGAGAAGTCAGACCTTCTCTCTCTAAACAACTCCTTTTTTTTATTATTATAAGTAACAATATTATAATACAAACAATAGTATTACAATTTAATCAATATCTTTGACAAAAATTTAATAAATATATAATATATTTAGCTGTGTAAATACTGAAGAATGACAATGTTACAATGAAGCTTCATTATGTCTAAAGGGGATGGAGAGATACCTTAAACATGACAAATTAGATACTCAAAGAGAGGTAGAATATATAAATAATTAGGTTCAGTAATACCAAAATAAGAATTAATAAATAAATTGCTAATTTATTATTCAATTTATTTATAGTTATAATTTAATTTTTTATAAAAAAAAATTATTTAAATATGTTGACGTGTAACACATGCTGTGCATTGCTAGTAATACTAACATTCACACCTAAATTAGCCAAACAAATATATATTATGTAATGTAGGAGCCACTAATTTCTTCACTATTTGATTTTTGTATGAGAAAAATACAACCTTTTTATTGATGATAACATGTAAGTTGAGTGATCGATTTCAAAAAGAATAAACTAAGTGCATCTATTCATGCAAAACGAACAAAATGTCTGGGACCAAAGGTTGACTGGCTACGGACACTTCGATGATTAAGTCAGTAAGATTTTGGTATCAAGCAAACAAATTGGACAAACAAAAGTGCATACCTCAAGACTTAAGCTCATCCGATTATTTATTAGATCATATCCCTGACCAAGTCGGATTTAAAATCCTAGTAGGAAGAAGGTGGCAAACCCCAAACCTAACCATATTTGCTTCAGTCAATTTTGTAGTCAAACTCGACCTCAATTTTACAAGTTGGTTTTATAGGTCACGTGTTCACAATTTGCACCTTAATCAATGGTAAGGTCTTATCCAATCAACCGCCTCAAGTTTCTAGGAGTAGCCCAATTATTCTGTTCGGAGACTATGAGATAGAGATAAACTCTCATTCAAATTTAGTCTCATAGTATCTTTTTCTATGCATACTTCTTAGGTTTTGCTCGGCACATTTTTCATTGATTGAGATTGCAGATCCACCAAGCAAACCATTTCCCATTGATTTTTGTTGTGGTAGGGTCTCATCCAATATGTTTGGTAGAACCCAAATCTATTTTGGTAACCTACAATCTACTTAGTTGAGTCTTTGTTTGTTTGTTTGGGAATGGTATTTTCATTTCAAACAACTCTTTTCAACACGTGTCAATTTCCATGTGATTTGGCCCAGTTTTCAATTCATGATCAGAGTTATTCACAACCCCCTAACTTGCCCCCAAAGCATGTCTTCCTGTGGTAGCACTGGGGGATATTCTCTGTTTCTAATCATTCCCATCATTTAATGAATTTTCTTGATCCAAGCAGAAAGGTGTCCAAGGGGAATAATTGGCTTCTCTTTCTGGTCAAAAATTGTCATTTCATTAAATGTTGCATTTTTCATGGTTTAGGTGTTGTTTCCTGTGCCATTTCCCTTTATTTGTAGGGTTTTTCTTCTCCATTGCACAATTTCTACCATTTTTTCCATCTTCAAGCCTCTACACCTTTAGACAGTTGTAAGTGTTCTTTGCCACATCTCCTTTTTCTAGGTTTTCTTATCTCCCTTTCATGAATTCATTGAAAAAAGAGTAGATAACGAGTTTAGGTCTAAATATTCCATCCTTGATGATGTCGACATCACTGTTGTATAGGAAGATGAGCATTTGATATGGTCTAGGGAGTCCATTCCTATCCCAAACAGAGACATTACAGAGAGTAGGGTTAGGTTCCCCTTTCATATTTTGCTTATGTGGGTTATGTCTGCCCTTAAGCTCCATCCTATCCAGTGTTGCCCCAGTTTCTTCAAATAGTTATGGGGATGACAATCTTTAACAATCTTTTGGAAACGAACCTTGGCCTTTGGGAAATTTATTTTTTGTTACATAATAAAACCCACTTTTGAAAAGAGTGATTATTTCACATAAGCAGGATAGATTGTTACCCAGTCACCCATCTTCTTGATTTAAAAAAGGGTCATGAGAATGATGTCTTGTTTGTTTCGGGTAATTGGAACATAAAGAAGGATATTCAGGAAAAAAGAAATGGGAAGAGGAAGAGTTCCTACCAACTTTATTGATTTGGTTATGAACCTAACCATTGGGGAGGCTTCAGTTCTAGAACTGCACCCGAGACCTTATTGACAATAAAGCCTTCCATTAAAGTTATTCCAATCAATCCAATATTAATCAAGACGAATCCACTTATAACCCTTAAAGAAACTATATCTAATTAGTCCCTTGTTCAAGCTAAATTGCAAGAAGATATGGATCCTATTGATGACATTGTTTCCGTTGTTAACTTAATTCAAAGGAAGCATTCGACCAAGAAGCAGAAAACCTAAGTTGGGTCATCTATTAATGTTGAGGAGGAGCTTGAGAAGGTTGATGAAGTCCCAATTTGACGCTCTAGGTTGAGGACCCGTGGTCAGGAAATCCTTGCAAAGGATCCGACTGTCACTAATTTAGGCGAAGCTATGGGTGTTGCTAGGACAGTAATTCTTTTGCCCAACTTTAAAATTTTTGAAAGTTTATATGATGAAATGCTGATTTGGAGTGCTCTCTAGATGATGGCATTGGTGGGTTGTCTTACCATAGAAAAGTTTCCAAGTCTCTAGACTTCTATTCTACTAATTAAACTTGTATATCGCTAGGGTCTTTATCGAATCCATGAGGTTTGGGCTTGCATAGTGAGGAGGGACAAGGAGCTAAAGAAATCCCAACTTTTAAATGTTCTTATTGTCAAGAATAGTGAGTGTCTCAAAGTTAAATCATGTAAACTTGTCAAAACACTACTTAGCCTTAGGCTAAAATGGCTACACTTATTGAGCCGAGGGAGTAGGTCTGTACCAAGCTGAAGGGGGCCGAGCACTCTAAGAAGGAGGTTCAAGAGGAAACTTCACGTCTTCAGGAGAAATATGCCTCCTTGAAAGAAGAGTTCAAAAAATTTTAGGCCTCCCCTAAGGCAGCCGAGGAGAAGTCTAATAACGAGGGTTTTGACAAGGCCGAGAAGGCTTTGGCAAATCTGATTCCCACACTTAAAGCAATTTTCTTCAAAAATGGTTGGGATGATGCCTCAGTTGCTTCTGATGTTCCTTTAAGCTCCGCACTCTTTTCCAAGTATAATGTGACTTTGCCTTCCTCAGGTAATAATGTTCCCAAGCTGGCCACCACCTTTGAGCACGTCTTAAGTACCTTTGTTCTTATAGTTTTTTCTTCTTTCTTTTCTTTTTGGATCTCTTAATGTATTTTTACTTGAATTAATGAATGGGATTCCCCCTTTCTATCGGTGCTGTCTTGATTTCATACTTTGCAAGATTTTCATCATTGCCCTTTCTCCCTAGGAAAGAGGCCCAACCTTAGAGAAGGGTTCGAGCATTCACACTTAGAAAATTTTTTATTATCGCCCCTACTCCCAGTAAAGGGTCCTACCTCAACGAAAGGCTCAGGGCTTCATACTTATAAAAATTTTGATTATTGTTCTCTTCCCCTAGCAAAGATTTATTGCCTCAATCAAGGGTTTGAGCCTTCATGATTATTATCGCTCCTGCTCTACCGCTTGAGATATTTTTGTCTCTCGTGTCTGTCATACGATTCATCCTTTTGCCTTATCTTTTGTTTAAATGGGTTGTATCTGTGGTTGACATGACAAAATTCTCCGTTAACATTGCATTGGGAGAATAGGGAACATAGTGATCCATGGCTCTATATACATTTCTGAAACCCATAATCACCTAAAAACTGAACCCTATAAGTGGTGAGTCCATCAACAGTATATTAAGATACTTTAACTTATTTTTCTATATGATGTGCAATTCTCATACATGTAGTACCCAATAATATCCCCCTTATGTGTGAAACACATCGGGCCTCCATATCTAGTTACTTGTTGTAACCAATGCACTGACCCACCAATCTGTTCAATCGCAAATCTTTACCCATTTAACTTACACCATGATGCCTATCTTTAAGCCTAAGTCTGATTGGATGGATGCACCTAGGCAAAGACCTTTCCTCCACTAAGGTTTTTCTCCTCCCTACCTTGGCAGTAGATTGTTTCTAGTATTTCCCAAGCTTA